TTTAGATTACTGCTGTTTGTTCTAAAACAACATTGCTTAACTTTCTGCTTATTTTAAACAAGTCACACGATCTCTTTTCTTTCCTTTTCAATGGAATTAGTCCCTCCTTCCCTAAGTATTGCAAATCTTCTGCTTCTTTTCTTTGGAAAACTTCATCTAGCTAGCTTTTACGACTATGTCCTTTGAGAATAGTACATAATGGAATAAAGAAGTTGGGGCAATAGAGGGAGATTTAGACAGAGGAATACAGTGAGTTCTCATTGCTCCATGGTGGTTGAAGTAAATGCCAATTTCATTATGTTGATTTCATTTATTTCCTGTCTCACTAGTTTACAAAAAGCCCACTCTTTTCTCCTGGACAAGAAGCAACTTATAGTCACGTGAGGAGAGAACAACAGCCATTTGTTTTAATATCAGCTTTTCCCCGGGTTGTTAGAAAGGTGGTGAAGTTATCTATGAACCTAAATTGAACATTATAGCACTAGGCTTTCCTAGAAATGATACTATTGCTTATTTCTCCAATGTAAAGTTCTGGATAACATAATCCCTTTAGCACAACTGACATCTGAAAATAGGTTCTAATAGGTAAAACAAATAAAGCTAACATACGTAGAATCAGGAGAGGTACTGGGAAGGTGAGTCTGAGTTTCTGCATCTGAATCTGCAATTAACACTCAGTACTTTATTTTCCATCTAAGCACAAAATAGGGCATATACCAAAACCAAATTCATTGTCATCAAGTCGACTCTGACACATAGTGACCCTATAGGACAGAGAGGAACTGCCCCATAGAGTTTCCAAGGAGTGCCTGGTGGATTTGAACTGCTGACCTTTTGGTTAGCAGACGTAGCTCTTAACCACTATGCCACCAGGGTTTCTAAACAGGGTGTATAGGGAGGTTCAAATTAACAGGAGGTTCAAATTAACAGCCAAGGTTAAGTGCTGACTGCTAACCAAAAGGTTGGCAGTTCAATGCCATCCAGTGGCTTGAACCCACCCAGTGACTGCATGGGAGAAAGAACTGGTGATCTGCTTCTGTAGAAATTACAGCCTAGGAAACCCTATGGGGCAGAGCAGTTCTACTCTGTCACATGGGGTCACTATGAGTCAAAATCAACTTGATGACACCTAACAAGAACACACACCACACGCACTCACTGCCATCAAGTTGATTCCGACTCATAGTGACCCTACAGGAGAGGGTAGAACTGCCCCATAGGGTTTCCAAGGAGCAACTAGTGGATTTGAACTGCTGACCTTTTGGTTAGCAGCTGTAGCTCTTAACAAGTACGCCACCAGGGTTTCCCCTAACAACAAGGTGTGTCTTATTAGATGTGTATTTTATGGAGAACCTTTCCATAGCAGAGATTAGAAATATTGAGTTCCAATCTCAGCTCTGCTACAAACACAAGGGACAACCTGATGCAAGTTACTGTCTGCCTTTGGGCCTCAGTTTCCTCAACTGCAAAATAAGACTCCTACTAACTTCAGCATTTTATACTATTAACTGGATATGAAAATGTCCTACTTGGCACAAGAAAAGGGAGCTGTTTATCATAAGTAGCACTTAAAAAATGTGTCCCATTAGTTTGCTTAGAAAAAATCACTGTTCAGCTGAAGTAACCATTCTCAAAGGGGAAAAAAATCACATGAATTCCTTCTTAAAACATTCTTACATTCTTCTCTTTAACATAATAAGAATTCTTTAGCACCAGCATTATCTATTGATGACAACAGTCCATTTGCCTCTAGCATGTCTGTCTAACAATGCTTTATAATTTATATCCATTACCTGCTGTGAATACTCCAAGCAAACACTGATTTACGGGTTTATAAATAACAGGGCTATATTGATTAATTCAGCCTATGCTTTGGCTACATAGCCTTTATTTTCTTTTCAAGTGCCTGTGCTATCAGTCACCCAACTGGGACTTTCAAGTCACTATATGAAGAACTACCAATCCTTTCATTTCTAACCTGAATAAAAATTTTTAAAAAAGCAAGCTAAGCCCCAAATATATGTATGTTGGTATATGTGCATATGTACACACATACACGTTTTATGTGTATGTGTGTGTGTCTGTGAAAGAGTAAAACACTCAGCTCTGTATAAGCAAAATGAAGAATTTTATTGAGGGAAAAAATACAGTTCAAACCAGGAAGCAAAAAGTGAGAGTACTAAGTGCTCTACTGTACAGAAGATAAGCAGGGGTTTTTATACAGTAGAATCAGGAACTTATTAAACAAAAACTTGATTGGTTTAATCAGTTAAGAAATGATCACAGAATCATCACAGGATTTCAGAGGTTCCTGTTATTTGGTCACTACTGACGAACTGACCTCTTCAGTAATGGAATTACAATCTATTTTCTGATATGGTTTCCTAACTTTTGTGAACATATGCAAGACCCTCTTCCTGGAACATTCTTAAACAATCATTATTGCAATCTTCCCTGTCCATGAAAACCACTCCTTCCTCTTATCTATTTTAAATAATACATTCCTTAAGCCTCTCCATAAGCATTTCTGAGAACAATGATCATGAGTTGTTCTTCTCAAAGTTAACGATAAGCTGGGATAAACAGAAGTCAATCTTAAGACAAATATGAAGCTTGGCTAAAAATGGGGTTTGGCCTACACTTAACTTTGCTATCCTGGTCATGCCAAGCACCTCAGTTTTAAAGTGCTCTTTCATATATAGCTAGATTGATATAGACATAAAATCAAATATATATATACATATATATATAGCCTTGGAAGAAGTACAGCCAGAATGCTCCTTAGAAGGATGGTGAGACTAAGTCTTACATACTTTGGACATGTTATCTGGAGGGATCAGTCCCTGGAGAAAGATATCATGCTTGGTAAAGGAAGACCCTCAACGAGATGGATTGACACAGTGGCTGCAACAATAGGTTCAAGCATAACAATGATTGTAAGTGTGGTGCAGGACCAGGCAGTGTTTCATTATGCAGTACATAGGATTGCTAGGAGTCAGAACTGACTTGGCAGCACCTAACAACATATATATGTTGTGCGTGTGTGTGCGTGTGTGTGTATAGATGTATATATAGTTGATTCTGAGTTTTTTTTATTATTATGTAAAATCATAGCCTTTCCCTCCCATAATTCAGAGGACCCAAAGAAGATACAAAGCTGAATAAATTCTTATTGCATTATTTGTTTGAGGGCTTATTAAGCAGATGATTTTATTTCCTTTGTCTATAAAGTTGATTTTTTTTGGGTAATCCTATAAAAATTGTAGTTTCTTCCCAAAAACCAAAGAAAAGAAATAGAAAGACTTATGGTGATGATTATTTTGTTTAGAGGTTCTTAACTTCCGGTCTTTGCTTGTGAAGATTGTTTGTGGGCCTCCCAAAATTGTACGTAAAATTTTGTACGTATGTAATAATATAAATTTTTAATCAGGTTCTCAAAAAGATACATTCCCCCCAAAATAGTAAGAATTACTGATTTGGTCCAAATGAGAAATCTTAATCCCAGAGTGAGAAGTAATTTGCCATAGTCACACCATTAGCCAGTGACAATGACAGCTCTGGAACCCAAATCCCTAGGGCTGTTCATGCTAGGGTGCATTCAAATGCTAACTCCTGAACAAACAATTATTTTCCTTAAATTTGCTTCATCTTGTGAACCTCTGCTGTTTTATTTGTTGTAGAGGTAAAGTGAGTTTATAGAGATTTCAAGGATACCATTCCACTTTTAACATTCATTGCCATTAAAACTAATGGTTTAAGACTTGTATGACAAGAATTTGCCCCAGAGAAAGAACTCCACAAACAAACCAAAGCTTTTTTAAACACGTATGAGGAAGTCCTAATGTCATTCCTACCTACAGAAGCAAAAAATACCTGTTTTAACAGTAGCTTGAACATCTAACTAGAATTTAAAATAGGCAAGGAGGCTCATCTACAACAGCAGACCTGCACTGAACTATCATCATTCTTTTGAAAAATCTTACACTGTTTTATTAAAATTAGGTATATTAACATAATCACATAAATTAAGATTAGTAAGGAGTTATGCCACAGTATTGCACATGAAGCCTGGACTAACTCACTGGAAAGATTCTTTTTATTAGTTCCTTTGAATACATGTTTTTATGAAAATTCTTTGTAATTTAAAAAGTGCTGCCAAGATGTACTGCTTACTAAATATGCTTTCAGAGCTAAATCTGCAGGAACATTGCACATTTCCCATTACCTTTTCTGACTCACCTTCCTTCCGCAGAAGGCAGCAAAAAGAATTCCAAGGAGAGGAACAAATATCTACAAGTAAACATGCTTTAGGCATTCAACCCTAGACGGTTTAGCATGCTTGATTGTTATTGGTGAATCATAGCAAAAAAAAAAAAAAGATGACAGTACCATCTGTCATGTTATGTTAAAGTGTTACAGCATGCAAAATTTTAACAGAGGCAAGAAAAATCATATTACTGATTTCAGCAATGTATTGTATTTGCTAGCAATTGGTAGATGTCTACAACACAAAATCGCTAAAGTGTACAAATGCCTTAATTCTTAAAGTACTGAAATGGATTTGTCCTTTGAGCTAAGAATATAATGCCCAGGGAGCAGAAATTGATAGAATCACACAGCGTAGTCCCAATAGTGACTTTAAATCCAGTAATTCCCTATTGAGACCTAAGATTTCACACACAGCAAAAATAATGTCCTTGACACTGAACTTAAATTTGAATAACTAATGAAGTATTTCCTGTTGGGTAGTAAAATATACTTTTCCTGTTCAGGAATATGACTATACTTTCAATGTCTCCAGTATACACCAATGTGTGACACAGGACAGAGATCTTGTATCTCAGTGCCAACTGACAGATATGATGCCGTTTGGTCTTAAAGTGCAAATTAAACAAAGCACCTCCAGAGGCGAAAAACTAAGAGGAAGCATGCCTGGGGAAACGGTGATTAAAAAAAAATAGAGGCTGAAATACTGAAAAAGGAAAAACAAAAGATATTAGTCTGTAAGTCCCTTTATAATTGAAAGTAATGATACTTTCTTGATACTCTATAATAATAATAGATTAAGTAAGTTGAGGATGAAATGGATCTAGTAAACCATTGTGTCTAATGCATGCCAAGGGAGGGCAGATTTCCCTTGGCACAGGAAAAAGAAAAATATAAAAATACATGCTATACCTACATCTGCACAAGGTTCAATCAGCATATGGTTTACAGATATCAGGTAGAGGTATTAACATCAGTAGTGAGGAAGATTAGCTATTGGCACAAAGTACCCGTATCAACACAGAGTCCTGTGTTGTATTTTTAAGCATCTTAATACATTTGCCTGAAGCTTTCCCAAATTAACGCTACTCTGTTTATATGCAACATACAAAATATAGTCTCAGTTTCAATGAATTTTTAATTTTGTTCAATCTTGAATTTGTTCAACCAAAAACAATTTAAAGAGGACCTAGGCTATCAGCTTCAGAGTGAGCAGGTTCAGCTCCTCACTACAGACTTCCTGAATCTGCCATAAAAATCAACAGTGTGAGTCTAATGGTTTTCTTTTCATTCGAACATTGAAAAGTGAATCACCACATCAAGTATTCTGCAGGGCCTCTTTGGTTTCCAAATTAAACATGTATTATTACCTGCAATCTTGCCACATTCTCTTCATTTCCATTTTAAATAATCATAAATAAGAAAGCCTTGCTACTTTTTGGCACGACATAGCTGTTTGATTCAGCTGAGTATCAAAGTCTTAAAAATTGCACTCATTCCTTTTTTTAGAGTCCTGGTTCATCTCAAAGGTTTTCAGCTGAAAGATTCTTTATTGTATTCAAATCTTGTACCATATGAATTGTTTTGGTTACTCAGTTTATGAAGAGTCTTGGAAATTGAACTGGGCCCGCAACAGAAAACACCAACTGTTTTCCTGGGAAAAGAAAAGGAGGAAATGGAAAATTAGGCAGAACATGGCAAAAAGTATGTTTTATAAGCATGGTTAAAGATATTACCAAAGTGAATTCCCTGTTGCGCTATATATTGAAAACACTCTTCTCAATTATCCCCATGTATCATTGACTACCAGGAAAATACTTTGTCTCATACTTTATATATTAGAGCTAAGGATAATTCATACAATGTAACTATGAGCATGTATTCACTTACTATCACAGAGTGAGTGGCCTGCCTTAGGATTTTCATTACAGTCCATTGGTGAAGCCAGAATCCAAATCAAAAACAAAGACTCCCAGCTCACATGGCACCATGTTCATTCTCCCCTTACTAGGTATTTCACATATATTTTGTAAAGAGCTCACATGGATTTTCATTGGCAGTGATAAATAAGAGGAAAGACAGAAAAGGTATAATCAATTTGAAAGGATAACTTTAAATGACTATATCCACATTGAAACAAAAAACGTATTAATCGGGATACATTTTTTTATTTTTGCACTGCAATAACTGTAACAAATGCTAAGTAGGTTTTATTACTCACTAACATAACATTTTAGTAGTTAAATTATACATACACCTTCCAAATAGACTAAATATATCCTAGGAAGTAACTATCATTTCACATTCAAAAGTTTGTTGATTTGCTTTGAATTTCAAGGACATCAAAATGATTAATAATTCATATACTATCTTGGAAAAACACAGTATATTCTCATTATCTAGAATAATTGATGCTGAAATAAGAGAGTTAAGTCCATCTAAATGAGTACCAAATATTCATAGTAACTACTGAAAAAAATAGTTTTACTAAAATTTTTCACCTTGAAAAATTAAACACAGAATTACAAAAATAGGACTTTTACTTGAGACCATGATAGTGTAACAGGACTACACTTATTTTCTTGTATTAAACACTAGAAAAAAAATAATAAAATAAATGAAGCAATTATTTTCAGACACTGGACAATAAAGAGCACAAAACTGTGCTCCCTGAGGAAAGGGAATAAGTAAGGCGAGTCCATTGATTGTCTAAGCTTACTGTCTAGCTTTAGTATCCAGGCTGCAGCACAGAAAGGAAAGCCCACGTAGAGACTGGGATCTCACTGAGTTGAGATGTCAAAGAATGGAGTTTATGGAGACCAAGGAAATTAGAATATGTAAAGCAGATTATGAGAGAGAAGGGAACTTCACAGCAAGAATCTCTAGAGATCTGTAGTTGACAGACGAAGTTTGAGATCCGGAGATCTCAAGTCTTTGGCTGAGTACTTATCTGCTCATGAGTGAGAGAGGAGTCTAGGTAAAGAACCACCAGACAGCAGTAGGTCAAATAATTTCCAGAATTTACACAGATCTGGGAATAATTCATGGTCCATAAGTCAGAATGGAAAGACCTCATAATACATGGGGCAATGAGTAGTCCTCTCAGAAAATGATTACCTTATATGGAGAAACAGGGATAAAAATTAATCTTAGACTAAAAGGTGCTCTAGACCTCATTAACAAAGCTTAAAAGCAAGCCTTAAAAGGATCAACTTGAACCGAAGTAATGGAAATGAATGCTAGAAACAAGTCCAACACCATTGAATAGAATAAATGAAAATTTGGCATCTAACAATGTTAACTTCAAGATTTACAGCATTTAATAAAAAATTAATAGGAATGCAAAGAGTAAGAAAATATAAACTCAAAATAGGAGAAAGATCAGTCAATAGAAACAGATCCAGAATGACAGAGAACATGGAATTAGCAGGCATGGTCACTAAAACAGTGATTACAAATTGACTTCATATTAAGAAGGTGAAACAAAGCATCAACATGAGGAAAAGAGAAGTGGAGGACTTTATAAAAGACCTAAGTAGAAATTATAGAAATTAAATGCAATATTTGAAATGATAAATACACTGAATGGGTTAACAGAAGAATAGGCACTGCAGAAGAAAATATAAGTAAACTTGAAGACACAGCACTAGAATCTATTCAAATTGAAGCACAGAGAGAAAAATGATTAAACACATGACCTGTCGGACATTATCAACTAGTCTAACCTACATTTAATTGGAGTCTGTCTTAGGCTGGGTTCTCTAGAGAAACAAAAACAGAGAAGCATATATATACATATACAGATTTATATCAAGGAAATGGCTCACACGGTTGTAGAGGCTGGGAAGTCCTAAGTCTGTGGGTCACACTGGAGGATTATCCTGAATCACGTAGCTGCATGGCCTGGTGAACCCAAGACTGGCGGGTCAGACAGCAGGCCTCTTTCTCACAGGCTGGCAGAGGCTGTTGAGTCCCAAGACTGGCAGGTAAGCTGCTACCTCAAGTCCCAAGGACCAGAGGTGAGACGAACAGGAGCCAGCTGCAGGATCCAGAGCGAGCAAAATTCCACCTATACTGGATCTAAAAGTCCACCCCCAAGGAAACGCCCTTAAACAGACTGGCTACTCACAGCAGATCCCATCATGGAGGTGATCACATTATATGAGATCTCATCATGGAAGTGATTACATCATTATAAAACTGCCAAACTACATCATAATTGCCAAACCACTGAGAATCATGGCCCAGACAAGTTGACACACAATCTTTACCATCACAGTCCACCCCTTGTCACCTTGCTACCTGTACACATCTCATTAAACAATACATAATCTCTGAATAAAGACAATTATAAAGTCATACTTAACGCCCAACATGATACAACTAACGTGTACAACCAAAAACACACTAGCCCTGTTAATATCTAATATTTTACAAGAAAACAAAAATATCTGATGCACACATACAATGAAGAAATACTCATAAAAATTACAGTCCTCATTTCTGCAACTGGTCACGTGGTCAAACCTGGTATTTAGAACTACCTTCTGCCACCACCTATTGTGTATTCCCTTTGCCCTCAGCAAACACTTCAGATGGTCATAGTTCCTTGCCTGGTGGGGTAATCCAAACCTTCATTCCTGAAGGGTCTGGGCCATTGGATGTCATGTTGGAATTGGGTTGCTGTAGTTTTCCACTGACTTTAATCACAGGGCATGACAGTATTAAGAGACACCCTAAGGGATCTCCTGCATTCCAGACATACTCTTACTTACCTGCATTATGTAATATTAATCCTATTTCCTCTTGGTAATCAGGATCAATCACACTAGCCAATATGGTAAGTCCTTTCTTTACCTATTGATCCAGAGGCATAGGGAGCCCAAAGTGCCCAGGTGGCATTCTTAACTTCCAGTTCAATGGAACCAGGGACGTGTCTCCAGGTGACAGCATTCCTTCCTTTGGAACTAAGACCTCTAGACCCGCAGAGCATAGGGCCATGAAAACAGGAAGCAAAAATTTTACAAGTGGATCACTAGGGGTAATAGTGAGTGGTGCCTTCCCATTTTCATCCCTTGATTCCTGGACCCATGAATCCTGGCTGTGGGAGAAGCAGCACCATATACTGGATGCTGGTTTAGATCATATACAGCCTCATGGAGAACATTCCCCAGCACTGCAAGGTATTGCCACCTAGCTAATGCTGTAATTGTGTCTTTAGAAGGCCATTCCATTGTTCTATCAAGCCACCTGCTTCCAGATGATGGGGGCATGGGAAGTCCAGTGAATTCCATGAGCACGGACCCATTGTTACACTTCATTTGCTGTGAAATGAGTCCCTTGATCTGAGGCGATGCTGTCTGGAGTAACATGACAGTGGATAAGGCATTCTGTAAGTCCACGAATCATAGTTTATGCAGAAGCATTGTGGGCAGGGAAGGCAAATCCGTATCCAGGTAAGTATCTATTCCAGTAATAACAAAACACTGCCCTTTCCATGATGGAAGTGGTCCAATGTAATCAACCTGCCACCAGGATGCTGGCTGATCACCTTGAGGAATAGTGCCATATCAGGGAATCAGTGTTGGTCTCTGCTGCTGGCAGATTGGGAACTCAGCGGTGGCTGTAGCCAAGTCAGCCTTGGTAAGTGGGAGTCCGTATTGCTGAGCCTATGCATAACCTCCATCTCTGCCACCATGATCACTTTTTTCATGAGCCCACTGGGCAATGACAGGAGTGGCTGGGGAAAGAGGATGACTGGTTTCCACAGAATGCCACATCCAATCCATTTGACTGTTAAAATCCTCCTCTGCTGAGGTCACTTTTTCGTGAGCATTCACATGAGACATAACTATCTTCACTACTAATGGGCCATTCAGAGAGGTCTATCCACACCTCTTCCCTATACTTCCTTGTCTCCAATTTTCCAATCATATGCCTTCCAAGTCCCTGACCAAACCATTCGCCACAGCCAATGAATCACTCACTGTACGATCACACAACTGGACGTTTCTCCTTCCAAGAAAAGTGAACAGCCAGGTGCACTCCTCGAAGTTCTGCCCATTGGGAGGATCTCCCTTCACCACTGTCCTTCAGCGAGGTCCCAGAAAGGGGCTGTAGTGCAGCTGCTGTCTCTTTGAGTGGTGCCTGCATATCATGTGGAACCATATGGACACCAGGCATGAGTTTTTTCATCCTCACTCAACTGATCAAAAGGAACTCCCCATGAGGCCATAGGCCTGAGTGATGGAAGGAAATGTGACAGGAGTGATGACCATGAGCATTTGGGTCACTTCCTCATACAACTTACTTGTACCTTCAGGTCCTGCTCGGGCCCAATTTCATATATACCACTTCCATTTAACGATGGAATGCTGCTGTACACGTCCAACTTATGGCTTTGTGGGTCAGACGACACCCAGTTCGTGATGGGCAGCTCAGGCCACATGGTGACTTGGCATCCCATGGTTAAGCGTTCAGTCTCTACTAAGGCCCAGTAACAAGCCAAAGCTGTTTCTCAAAATGAAAGTAGTTATCGGCAGAGGTTGCCAGGGCTTTGCTCCAAAATCAGAAGGGTCTGCACTGTGATCCACCAACAGAGGTCTGTGAAAGACTCAAAATGGCATCTCTGTCTGCCACTGACACTTCAAGCAC